GAAATATGAGTAAAACAGGAAAACCGTTTTATTCAAACTGTTTTATTCAGTAAAAATTTGAATGATGATGAATCTTCATTAAGAGTTTTTATTGAACATCCTGCTTTAAATCTGAGCTAAAACCGGTTCTGTTCTGACTGAGACCTCTGGGTTCTGGTCTGGGTTCTGGTCTGGACGTGTTCATGTCAACATGTCTTCTGAATAAGGTGAGAGGACATGTCAGCTCCAGACTGCAGGATCTAAAAGAGTGACCTCTGTTGTTTTAGGTTGGTGTTGCAGCGCCACCTGCTGGTGTTTTTAAATATAAATATTCACTTCCTGCAAGTTAAAAAACTGTTTGAGATTTAAATGAAACATGAAATACCTAAATCAAAGGATAGATGAAAAATGATTGGATGAATATGGAATGATGGATGTATGGATGGATGATGGATGGATGATGATGGATGAATGGATGGATGGATGGATGATGGATATATGAATGGATGGATGGATGGATGATGGATGATGGATGAATAGATGATAAATGGATGGATGAATATGCAATGATGTATGGATGGATGATGGATGGATGGATGATGGATGGATGATGGATGGATGTATGGATGGATGTATGGATGGATGATGGATGGATGATGGATGGATGTATGGATGGATGATGGATGGATGATGGATGGATGATGATGGATGAATGGATGGATGGATGGATGGATGATGGATGGATGTTTGGATGGATGATGGATGGATGTATGGATGGATGATGGATGGATGTATGGATGGATGAATGTATGGATGGATGATGGATGTATGTATGGATGATGATGGATGATGGATGGATGTATGGATGATGACGGATGGATGGATGGACGATGGATGGATGGATAGATGGATGAGAGCATGATGATGGATGGATGGATGGATGGATGATGATGGATGGATGGATGGATGGATGATGATGGATGATGATGGATGGATGGATGGATGGATGGACGATGGATGGATGGATAGATGATGATGATGGATGGATGGATGATGGATGGATGATGATGGATGGACGATGGACGATGGATGGGTGATGATGGATGGATGGATGGACGATGGATGGATGATGGATGGATGGATGATGGATCAGAGATTTTTCAAATGAGAAAAGAATTAAAAAATAAATTTTGTTGTTTATTTAAATATGAACCTACAATAAAATAAATATATTTAGAATAAAAACATTAAAAAACAAGATGTTTTAGTTTAAAGGATCCATTGTAACTTTAACCTTTATTAGATAAACACTTATTTTAACTGTAAATTAAAGACTGTAAAAATACTGTAGGATGTTCAGTTTTATAAATTTTTAAAAATATATTTTAACACGGACGGAGCCATTTTATTTGCACACAAAGCATTCTGGGTAAATGATGACGTGGATAGGTCCTCGGTGCGAGGCTGCTAGCGAGCTATATCCACCCTGAAGGTTATCTTGGACAATATCTGATGATCGACTCTTTTAAATGAAACCAGAGAGCGTTGACAGAGAGGAGAAGGTAGAAATGACTCAGCCTGTAACTGAAAATATGGATGGAGGACAACAGGTTAGCTTGTTTGTCGTGTTAGCACTGAGCTAATACGTATAAGGCAAGAGTCGACACTAGCACAAAGACTAACAGGCTAATCTGAGGTTGTTCTTCCATGAAGCAGCTCTGTTGTCCTCCATCCATTCTGCAGGAGGACATGATGGACATCCTGGACTACATGAACCACTACTCATCAGAGTTGCAGCAGAAGGAGGCGGAGCTTAGAGAACAGCTGGAGCAGCTGGAGGCAGAAGAGCTCAGCTCAGAGGTCAAAGTTCAGGGTGAGGGAAGCAACTGTGTGTGTTTGTGTATTTGTCACACACTTTGTTTCCTCTCTTCAGCTGCAAAGTTAGAAGATCAGGAGCAGCAAACGGAGCAGCTGAAGCAGATTCTGCTCCACAGGAACTCTGTGCAGAACGATGTGGACCATCTGCACCAACCTCACAGAGGGGAGGTCCTGAAGATGAAGCTGGAGGACAGGAAGTCAGTTCAACGCCATCAAAGGATGACATCATTCCAGATGAAATGTTTTCATCTCTGGAGGTCATCCTCCTCTGTCCTCCTCCAGGGTGATGGAGGTGAAGCTGACTGAAGCCAGAAGCTGCATAAAGAAGGAGGTTTCTGAGGCGCTCCAGGAGGCGAGGACTCGGAGCAATCCGATGGTTCCGGATCTGAACCTTCAGTGCCTAGTTCTGTCATCAGTGCTCAAACAGATCAGAGAAACCAGCACCAAGCTGGACCACATGAGGTCCGAATACGACACAATTCAGCTCAAAGTCCTCAACTGTCAGCAGGTGAGGGCCCAGCTTCTACTTCCTGTTCTACACCAGGTCACTTCTGATTGGCCGAGCAGAGCCACAGATCTTTAACTCTTGAAAGGTTCTCAGGTGCTGCTGGGGAGGAAACAGCCTGAGATGATCTGATCACTAAAACCAACCTCTGATTTCTGACCTACCATCAGGAGTCAGAGAGGATGAAGAAGAGGAACAAGCTGCTGGAGGACGACAAGAAGAAGCTGCTCAGCCTCCATCAGAGCACGCTGGAGGAGAAATAGGCCTGCAGGTAAAAGTTTACCTTTTTATTAAACACCTGGAGCTCAGAGCAGAGAGAAACATCTGACCTGACCTGCTGACCTTCAACCCTCTGACCTTTAGCCCTCTGGCCTTTAAACATCTGACCTTCAGCCCTCTGACCTTCAGCCCTCTGACCTTCAGCCCTCTGACCTTTAGCCCTCTGACCTTTAAACATCTGGCCTTTAGCCCTCTGGCCTTTAAACATCTGACCTTCAGCCCTCTGACCTTCAGCCCTCTGACCTTTAACTTTGTGTTCTCAGACAACTCCTGGCCTCAGTGTCAGAGGACTACCACCAGGAGGCCTCTGTGACCTCTCAGCTGCAGGCTGAGCTGCAGAGGAAGAGGAGGAGCAGGATGAAGATGGAGGTGGACATCCTGAGAGCAGTTTCCATCATCAGGGTAGAAACAGAAACTGGTCCAGAGTCCAGAGTCTGAGGACCTGAACTGAAGCAGCTCACGTCACAAATCATGACATAAAAAGTTCTGACAGTCTGTGAGACCAGGAGGAAAACTGGACCAGGTCAGGTCTTTAGTTCCTCTGATCTGGGTTCTCTGCAGGACTCAGAGAAGAACCCAGACCTTCAGCTGAACACAGAGACTCTTCTGAAAGTTCTGGAGATCAGCGAGCCTCAGGAGACAGAGTCCACTGAGCTGATCCACGGGGGACCAGAACCACAGATCTCTGAGTCCGGAGCAGCAGCCAGGTACCAGAAATAAGACCTGAGCGTGGTCCTGTTGGGTCACCATGGAAACTATAATGATTACATCATCAGTTTATATTTAAAAATTAAAATCAAACGTAAATTTTTAAGTTTCTTTAAATCAAACCCTGAAGCATGAAATCCACTGCAGCTCTGACCGTTAATCCCTCTGACCTTCACCCCTCTGACCTTCAACCCTCTCTATCATAAACTCTTGCAGTAAAATCATTACAATAGTCAACTTTTTTTGCACAAGAAAACATTAAAATTAAAAACAAAATAAAATATAATCTGAATATTCTGTTTTTCCTGCCATCTGAAAAGTAAATATTATATTTAAATCAATTTATTGCTTAAAGCACAAATTTAACAAGTGAAACACAAAAACAAGAAAATTAGTTTTTTATATCTGAAATGTTCTGTTTTATTCCACAGACGATGATCTAAAATAAAGTTCTGACATGAAGTTATTTGAATTTATTCAAATGTTCATTTAAAACTTTTAGAAGCTTCTTTTCTTTCCTAGAGAGCACAAAACAAACAAATAAGGAACTTAGAGGTGAGACCCCAGACCTACCTGTAGCCCCGCCCCTAAGGGGCCAAGGACCCCCAGGCCCACCTGTAGCCCTGCCCCTAAGGGGCCAAGGCCCACCTGGCTCACCTGTAACCCTGCCCATAAGGGACCAAAGCCCCCCAGGCCCACCTGCAGCCCTGCCCCTAAGGGGCCAAAGCCCCCAAGGCCCACCTGTAGCCCCGCCCCTAAGGGGCCAAGGCCCCCAAGACCTACATGTAGCCCCGCCCCTAAGGGCCAAGGCCCCCAAGGCCCACCTGTAGCCCCGCCCCTAAGGGGCCAAGGCCCCCAAGGCCCACCTGTAGCCCCGCCCCTAAGGGGCCAAGGCCACCCAAACCTACATGTAGCCCCGCCCCTAAGGGGCCAAGGCCCCCAGGCCCACCTGTAGCCCCGCCCCTAAGGGGCCAAGGCCCCCAGGCCACCTGTAACCCCGTCCCTAAGGGGCAAAGGCCACCCTGGCCCACCTGTAGCCCCGCCCCTGTCAGAGGTCAAAGGTTAAAGCAGGTTTATTGGATCAAAACTTTAAAATGCTCCTTTAAAAATTTTTAATGCTTGTAAATATCATTTTTACTTTCTGTAAATGTTGAATATTTTTAGATCTTTAAATGATCAAATGTCTGGAATTAGAAATAAAAAGCTTCACTTCCTGAAGTTCAATCATTTTGAACTTTATTTCATTTTATTACAAAACAAACAGTGATAAAATGTCTTAAAAAACATAAAAATGATTTAACATTGTCAGATAAAAACAGGGCCGGAGACTTTGGTCCAAACAAACGTAAAACCAAAACAGAACCAGAACCAAAACAGGAAGTAAAACATTTCCTCTCAGATCCAAACTTTTCTGATAAAAACAAACTGAACCAGACTTTATTGGAGCCGCTTCATTTGGAAGTCAAAACAGGGTTTTGAAAAAGTCCAGTTTGTCTTCAATAAACCCACAGGGGGGCTAAACATGGGGGCGGGGTTTACGCGGAGCCTGGCCCCGCCCCCCTCAGTCCTGCAGGGCGCAGCAGACCAGCTGACAGGCTGAATGCTCCAAACCCACAAAACTCTGATTTTCACCCTGAACGTCCTGGTTCTGTTAGTCCTCTCTCTGACAGAAACAAGAAAACAAAGTCGAAGCTGTCAGCTCAGGGAGCTGCAGAGATAAAAACACTTTTTATAATCTGTCCGTCCCTCCTGCTCGTTTGCATGATTCCTGTCAACATTTGCTTATGAGACAAAAACGGTCCAACCTGACCTCTGTGAAACTCTGCTTTCAAACTCAGAAAACAAATGAGGAAACTGAAGATGAGCCGTCAGATCTGGCTTTAATCTAGGTTTAATCTGAGTTTAATCCAAACCAGAAACCAAAGAAAAGTCTGATAATCTGAAGGTTCTGCTGGTGGAACCAGATTGAACTGTTTAGTTTTAGATGTTTGGACCTTCAGGTGAACACAGTCCAGTTTTTTGGCACATCTGGATCAGTTTCAGGTCCAAACGTTGGATTCAGTCATTAAAGTTCCTTACATACAGTGGACTTTAAGCCCCTCCCCCCATCAGACAGGAAGTGATGTCACTCACAGTCAGCCTGTGATCCTCTTGTAGGCGAGGAGGAAGATGATGATGGCCGTCAGGAGGACCATCATCAGCACCACGGAGGTCAGGAGGAAGGCCCGACACGCCGGACGTCCCGTCAGGCGGAACAGGGCGCCGGCTAAACCGCCGCCGCCACCCGGCGACCCTGGTCCTCCGCTGCCTGGGCCCAGGCTGGGGAGACCCACGTCCAGGGTCCGGTTCACGGACCTGAGCGACACCAGAGAGCCATGACCTGGACCTGAACCCTCAGAGGACCTGAGAGAGGAAACAGAACCTTTCAGCTGATGCTGGATTATTTTTATTTATAAACACGTTTTATTTAAATGAACTTTTAAATAAATAAATAAATAAACGTTTACTGTCAGGATCAACATATAAACTTAAACTAAGTCTGGGATTAGACTGGATTAAAATTAAGCTCAATAATAATCCTGGTAGAAGAACATTGAGGTGTTCAGGTGTTGAAGTGTTCAGGTGTTGAAGTGTTCAGGTGTACAGGTATCAGGGTGTTCAGGTGTACAGATGTTCAGGTATCGGGGTGTTCAGGTGGTGATTTGTTGAGGTGTTCAGGTGTGCAGGTGTTCAGGTGTGCAGGTGTGCAGATGTTCAGGTGTACGTGCTCAGGTGTTCAGTTGTACAGGTATCGGGGTGTTCAGGTGGTGATTTGTTGAGATGTTCAGGTGTGCAGATGTTCAGTTGGTGATTTGTTGAGGTGTTCAGGTGTTCAGGTGTTCGGGTGGTGATTTGTTGAGGTGTTCAGGTGGTGATTTATTGAGGTGTTCAGGTGTTCAGGTGGTGATTTATTGAGGTGTTCAGGTGTGCAGGTGTGCAGATGTTCATGTGTTCAGTTGTACAGGTATCGGGGTGTTCAGGTGGTGATTTATTGAGGTGTTCAGGTGTTCAGGTGGTGATTTGTTGAGGTGTTCAGGTGTACAGGTATCGGGGTGTTCAGGTGTAAATGTGTGAAGCTCCGCCTCCTCTCGGACCTTTTCACCTGCAGCTTGCCCTTGTTGCGGATGAAGCGGATGCTGTAGACCCTCTGCATGGCGGCGGGCAGGTAGGACAGGACGTTGGGGTCCGTGGTGAGTTTGGGCAGGCCCAGGGGGGGCAGCGGGGTCAGGCCTCGGCACAGGGGGCACTGGATGGCGCTGGGCTGGCTGGACTTGACGTTGATGCGGGCCAGGCACTCCAGGCAGAAGGTGTGCTTGCACTGCAGCATCTTGGGGCAGCGGAACACGTTGTTGAACTGGCAGAAGCAGACCGAGCACTCCAGGTCCGGACCCGTCTCCTCGGACCACTGGTACGGGGCGGGGGACGGCTGGGGGTCCGGGGGCGGGACGCTGACTGAGACCTGGGAGGACGGGGGGCAGACGGGGGGAGCGTAGGGGTTCTCTGAGGACGGACTGAAGTCTGGCAGAGCCAAGAGGGAGCTGGAGGACCAGACCTGTAGAGAGGTTTGAGTGACAGGAGAGTTCTGGTTCAGAGAGCCCAGGCCCGCCTGGAGGACCGACAGAGACAAGGACAAGGACCCGCTGTACGGGTTTGGACTGTCTGAAGGATCAGAACCATCGTTCAGGGTTTGGTCCTCGTAAGGATTCATGGTGAGTTCAAAGGTCAGCCCTGAGGGGAGGTGATGGACAGACGGGGGGACAAGTGGACCTCTGCTGCAGGAACAGGAAGCATCAGTCAGATTTCAAAATAAAAGTCCTGCAGTTTCAGCTTTCACATGATGACGTCTTCATCCAAACTGGAAAATAAAACAGAAACAAAGTGTCAGAGTCTAGAAACTCACCTGCTGCATGTCCTCAGGAGGTAAAGAACTTTCATCCAGAACATATGTCACATCGAAACCAGGATTCAGTCCAAAAGTAGAGAAACAGGCAGATACAGAGTTTTTATTTAAATAAGTGCAAAATTTTAATTTTGTCAAAATGTAATGAGCTAATGTCTTATCAATGTATCAGTTGAATTAAATGTGAAATATCATAAAAAAATTCTTTGAAGCACTTTTCAGGGAAGTAGCAAAAAAATAAAGATTTTGAGGAAAAACGCCTTAAAATTTTAAATTTTCCTCTGTGAGCTAACTGTTCTAGTTTCTTTCCAACTGGGAAATCTTAATTATACAAATAATATTTGAGATTTCCTCTTTATTTATAGTTAATATAGTTTAGACTTTATTGAACGTAATGAATTTAAAAGAATAAACAAAGTTATATACAAAAGAAAAAATTAATTTAAAACAAAAAGCAAACAAAAAACAAGAACAACATTAATGAATTATATTTATACGTTCAAAGGAGTGGATTGAAGTATAAACTTATTTTTTAACACCCACCCCTCTTACATCTAAAAAAAAATCATCCATAATCAGTGGCATCACTAGGCTTATTTTAGGGGGGCTGGAGCCCCCCTAAAATATTTTAAAGTTCAAAAATTCAATGATGTGGTCAGAATAAATAACCATTTAATATTTCATTATTAACTAAAACATATGATCATGAATCTGTCAGTTTCCCTTTAACTTATAGTGTAAGGTAGAGATCCTCTTTAGTGAGCCGTTATCCAATGCACGCATATATACACATATACATATATACACATATACATATATACACATATGCATATACATATATACACATATACAGTACATACAGTATATACATGCACACACACACATTCAATACAAATATATAGTATACAAAAATTCTGTGCGTCTCCTGGGGGCTAAGCCCCCCTTGTCCTTAAAACATAGTGACACCCCTGTCCATAATTATGACTTTTATTAACTTGGTTAGAATATTATATTCTTTATATTAGCATAAAATTATTTAATAAATATGTGTAAAATTAGGATTCAGACTAAACAGTGATGGATTATCATAACCAACAAGACAAATGAGGTCATATCTCTGGATAAGTTGATGATATCAGGATGATCAAAATGCAGCTTTTAAAGCCAGAATCTGAAAATATAATTAGGTAATTTTGACTAAATTTGACTTAATCCTCATTTCGACATGATGGGTCACAAATCATGAAACTAATAAAGTCTGTTCTTGCCTGACTGCTGTGGAGATTAACTTCAGATCAAACTTCAGCCTCCTCAGACCTCCTGCTGCTCCTCCTGCGTCTCTCCTCTGACAGCAGCAGCTGCACTCTGCTCTGCTTTGCATGCGTTGATCTAAAACTGGCTTCTGTTTCCACAGAGCCACACAACTGCTGCGTGTTGTGAGTCTGCAGCACACATTTGCATCCAGCACTTTATTTATGAAAGGGAAATCAGATGGAAAACTCTGAGCCCCGTTCTGTTGTGGAAACACCAGGATCAACCAGAACCCACCCAGAACCAGAACCTGTCAGAGGTCAGAGAGAGGCCCAGCTTTCATCCAGAACATCTTTGTGTTTAAAATAAGAGGAGGAGGAGGAGGAGGAGGAGAAGGAGAAGAAGTCACTTCCTGCTGAGGTCATCAGATCTTTGTAAAACAAACGTTTAACTTTAATTATTTTTCTAATAATCTGACCTCAGGACGAACATAAAGTGTAAACAGGTTCTGCCACTCACCTCTGGTTCTGGTTCTGGTTCTGGTTCTGGTTCTGCTGCAGAAAGACTTTGGTCCAGACTGCAGTTTCCTCTCAGCTGTTTGAATAAAACCAGGAAACAGATGAGCTCAGCTGAAGGTGAGACTCTGACACACCTGAGGTCCTGCTGCTGATTACAGCTACTGCAAACACAACTGCACCACAAACAACACAACTTTACTACAAACACAACTGCACTACAAACAACACAACTTTACTGCAAACACAACTGCACTACAAACAACACAACTTTACTACAAACACAACTGCACCACAAACAACACAACTTTACTGCAAACACAACTGCACTACAAACAACACAACTTTACTGCAAACACAACTGCCCTACAAACAACACAACTTTACTACAAACAACACAACTTTACTACAAACACAACTTTACTGCAAACACAACTGCACTACAAACAACACAACTTTACTACAAACACAACGGCACCACAAACAACACAACTTTACTGCAAACACAACTGCACTACAAACAACACAACTTTACTGCAAACACAACTGCACTACAAACAACACAACTTTACTGCAAACACAACTGCCCTACAAACAACACAACTTTACTACAAACTAAACACAACTTTACTAAAAAACCAAACACAACTTAACTTCAAATGTAACACAACTTTACTGCAAACTAAACACAACTTTACTACAAACTAAACACAACTTTACTAAAAAACCAAACACAACTTAACTTCAAATTTAACACAACTTTACTGCTAACGAAACACAACTTTACTGCAAACTAAACACAACTTTACTGCTAACTAAACACAACTTTACTGCAAACTAAACACAACTTTACTGCTAACTAAACACAACTTAACTTCAAATTTAACACAACTTTACTGCTAACTAAACA